GTAATTCAAAACGTTTTTCGAAAAATTTGTAAAAATATTTAAAATACAAATTAAAAAATAAATCATAAAAAAAAATGGGTGAATTGTATTTGGAATGAACCTAAATTTCGAACTGTGATTGGAAGGAATCAAATATGTTTCAATTAAAAAATGAAGATATTAATCAATACATAACAAACTTCAATTAACATTGAGAAGCTAAATGTTTGAGAGCTAATTATTAAAAAACTACTTACTTGTGCGATTTTCATACAAAACTTTGGGAGCTTGGCATAATTTGAGTCATAGAGCCGAAATATGGAAAACATTTGGCATGTCATTTCAGAAAAAGTCCAATTTTGTGTCAAAATACCTATACTTTAACAACGCTATGTATAAATCTAATACATCCTATATCGCGCTTTCGAGACATGAAAAACGCAATTTGAATTTGTTTATCGGCCCAGTAACAGGAAAACATAACTGTCCTTCCCCCCCCCCCCCGCAGTTTACATAATTTGAATAGTAAAGATCAGGTTCTGAAACTGTGGGTCGCCAAAAATTTTAGCAATTTTGATATTTCTTTTACTTATTATAATAATTTTACAATAATCAAATATTTTTACACACTGTACCTGAAAATAGATAAAGATAAGACAATACAGACAAAGAAAAAAACAAAAGCATTTCGAAGCATTCATTTTATAATATAAATGTTCATTTCACGTAACGCTGTCATTTCATCTGTTTTTGTCATTTAAAATTTTCACACTGTTCTATGTCTTAAAATTAGAAATTAAAGTTAATGATCTAAAACTGCAATAATTACAGTACAAGTGGAAAAAAACTGACAGTTTCGCTCATGGTGTGTCGGATTTACGGAATGCTAATGAGGTCCCACAAAAAAGTTTTGTAAATATTATGAGGTCCTGGGGTCATGAAAAAAAAAAAATCTTAGTGATAAAAAGGGGTCGTGACTAAAAAAAGTTTAAGAAGCCCTTGTATAGATCACTTACTTGAGCTTAAATGAATTTTTTCTTGCAATTTACAAACTTACTTTAACAGAGAGTAAACTGCTGAATATACACCTCAGCCTGTATATTATGAATCAATATTAAATTCATATAAAATAGATGTACTGCTGACCATTAAACAACATTAGGGCATTAAAATGTCAGCTTCTCTGCATCTGAAAATCTTGCTAACATTCAACTCTTAAATCTGATCTACTAACAGCTTACTGTTGAAATAATAATCAATTATATTTATTTTGCATTCCATACAATAAAATAAGCTAAAAAAAAGGTTATGGGAAAACCAAAAATTCGAGAAAGTATGTTATTATAGAATAAAGTCCATGATCTGGACTCATTGGGACTTAGGCGATTCAAAATTTGGGATTTTTCTGGATATTTTACATCATCAGTTTAAATCTAGTCAGATTACATGCAGAAATTATAAAATTAGAAATTGAAAAAATAGTGGTTTATAAAATAATAAAGCATTTATGACCTAAAGGGATTGCAAAACAAGAGCTCACAGTTTATTTGTTTGCTTTATTAAACATTTCTTTCAATGTAAGTTTTTAAGCTGCTTCTTTTTTTTTTTTTTTTTTTTTTTTTTTTTGTGTGTGTGTGTATGTGTTAATACTCTCTCTTAGAATCTATAGACAGACCTGACTTCTTATCCAGTAACAAAATTACATTGATTAAGTCCTGTACCTGCTGTGTCAAGAACTTCCATTAAATTGTCAATCAAAATTTTTTTTGTTTTCTACAACTTTCTTTGCTATCGGTAGCGATATTTTCTGGATTTAAAACCACACTACAGATTTCATTAGCTATTAGTTGATTGATAATTGTGGCATTGTCACTGCAATGAAAAACTTCTGCTCTATCATCTTCATTTATTACCACTTTTGCACATTTCTTCACAAATTCCATAATTGAGAATATTGCTTTTTGTTTGCAAAATCTGAAAACCTTTAGATTCATCATAAGGCTACTATCATATACATATCATGCATACATCATACATCATCTATCATCATAAGACTTAACTAGTGTGTCCTATGCACTATTGAGAAAGTACCCTGAGATTGACAAATAAAGAAATGTTGTTCCACTAAATCTTAGCTTGCTTCTGTCTCACTGACGAAGTTAGGCCCAAATTATATCGTTATATCTTGCACTTAATCCTATTTCCCACATAGGTTTAACTGAATCCCAGAAAATTCCCACATATACTTAACCCCTTGAGGACCAGAGTGCGGAGAACAAAGTGCAGTCACTGGACCGGACACAAACTTTCCTTGGTTTTAGTGCACACAACACATCTTTTCCTATCTTTATTACTTTTTTCGTCAACATAAATTTTTTGAAAATCTCTTCCAGTTAGACAGAAAGGTGGAGTACCCAATGATTTTGGACAACCTTTTAAGTTTTTAAATAAGGTCTCTTAGTCACGGCTAACAGAACTAAATACAACCCCAACACATGTCCCAAAACTTCTTCAAAAGACACACAGAAATATTTCATAATCAAACCCTGTGTTACATCAGGTTTATATTAGAAACTTTTCTAAATCGAAAAACAGTGTCCGCCATGATGATCGGAAAGTGATCAAGGAAAGACCCCCCCATTGGCGGGATATCCTACTGATAGTCAATATATACATTATATATAAAGTAAATACATAATGACTGGGTCATTATATATAATGATCATTCAAGGCATTATATATAATGACCTATTAAATCGAGTAAGAAAAACAAAAACACTGGCTCTTTCCTCAGAAATGCGAGCAAGTAAGACATATTATGCGTCGAGAAAGCTGATGGTCTTTCCCCTTCCATAATAATGTTGTAATGTTACGTTTTAATTAACCAAGAAAGCTTATGTTAAATTTCAAAATAAATGGAAAAAAGGACTACTGGTCTTGAGTCTTTCCATCAGGGATGTTTGGCGAGATTACACCTGCTATAGTCAGCTGAATGCACTTTTCTAACAAAAAAAGCAAATAACATAAACGAAAGCAAGGAGCTGGATGCACTTACCCACACATTCTAATAACGAAAAAAGCAAAGAACAAAAGAAAAAAAGAGAGAGAGACCGGGGGGGGGGAAGAAATTCCTAACAAAATAAACAAAAACACCTGTGCTCCTTTAATTCACAGACGCACTTATAAAGAGCCATGATTCTCAATTTGTTTATACCAATAAATCTATCAAAACTAGAAGCATAAAACAGAAACTAATTCCAGTACATGAAGGTCAAATGCCATATGAAACATGTGAAAACAGTTACCTTTTAGCTCCATCTACTGGCTTTTAAAAATTCAAATAAATCGTTCCGTTTTAAAGTTACATATACATGACGCTGGGCTGGAAGGAGTAGAATCACTGTGTCACGTATACGGGACGCTAGGCTGATAGGGATGGAAACATCGCGTGGCGTATACGGGTATACGGGACGCTGGTCCTGTTAAGGCTTATCCAGGATTGGTATAGTCTCTGTGAATCCTAAATTCTGCTACTAAGCACCTCCTGAAATTCTAAAGATTTTACTAGTCTTTAATTTTTTTACTCTGTGCTTTTCTAAATTCTAAAAATTGTACCTTCCCTAATTTCTGCCTCAATTAATTTGGCACTGGTCCTGGGCTTATCTAAAGTACAAATCAGTTAGTCTTGATTCAAACAGTACTAAATGTAATATTTTGACCTATGAGTATCATTTACAAAATTTATTTTTTGCATATGGAAAAAAACTTCTCTTAAAATTCTCCTGATCAACACACTCAGTTAAAGTCTGCAATCACACCAAGCATAATGTCAGTATAAAAGGTTATCATGGTCTTTGGTACTTAGTTACTAATATTTAAAGAAAGAATTGTTTAAAAATCATTGCATGAGTCATTTCTCAGGCTGACATGTGTTGATAGCCGTACGGTGATGAAAGCAAAATATAATAAATAATGATTTCCCAGACTAATGTCAAGAATATAAATTATCCAGTAGATATATAATCAATGATGTTTTAATTTAGAATATTCTGGCTTGAGATGTAAATAAATAAAATAAAATAAAATAAAAAAAAGGCAGCTACCAACAGTATTATTGATCATGCAGATTTATGCTACTGAATGATTGTTCCTTCAACTGAGATATCGTATTTAGTGCCAGAGTGAAATTTAGAATCAAGATGCTCTACATGTTTTATTCTGAAAAAATATTAATTGTGCATATCTAAAGGATTTAAAAAAAAAAAAAAAAAAGTTGGTGGTGGTCTGGATTTCAGATCATTCCCGATATTGGACGTGCAGATTGCAAACATTGTATTGTAACAGCATATTTTAGATGTTAGCACTCAAATTTTCCTCCCGATTGCAAAATAAATCATCTGTTTATAAGCACTTAATAGCAAAGTTTTACATTAAAGAGATTTATCTTTATACTATGTATTATGACTAACCAGTAATCCAGTTCACTATGCACTAACTCTTATTACTCAATGCAACTAAATTGCAGCCATAATAATGTCTTGTTTTTCTCTTATTCATGCAATTTGATGTTCAACAATATTTTGGTATGTTAGACCAATAAAATGAATGAAATGCAGTCTTGATGAAAATTTATCCAACAGAGGGGTTAACTTTACAGCTACTGTTGACACACCACATCCTGCCTATCTGCATCAAAGAATGCCATTTGAATTTTTCCCCCTAAAGTATTATTAAAAACCAGATAATTTTGCCAGCCCATCCCAAGATTTAATGCTATTATCATTTTTGTGCATCAAGTACAGCTGAAGGAAGAATGAGTCAAATTGCACTAAAGGACAGATATTTGCTGTATTTCAAAGCATCTAAACATTCAGCACTTGTAAGATAAGTAAAAAAAGGAATATTTTTCTTCGTGTTAACTATCATAGCCTATATTTTTGCGTTAGGTGATAGTACCTTAAAATACCGGTAGTTATTATGACTCATCAGTATGCATAGAAATATTCACATAAGATACATACCTTGTTAGACAATGATGTATAGAAAAGTCTTCATGTTCCAAAGAAGAATTGTTCATATCCACAGACAGAGTCTAAAAATAAAGAAAAATAATCCTAGGCATATATTTCCAAAGACTGAAATACAAACTAGTTAAGTCATTATAGTAATTTTTTTTAATATCTTAAAAAATTACAGAATGACATTATACAAACTTTTGCTTATACAAACAAACATGTGCTCTAAGAGCTACATTTATTCAGAGTCAAAAAACAAAATAAACAAATGGCTGTGCATGATGTTATCATGTTTTTGACAAAGACAGAAAAAGAAAACCTGTTCAGACAAGTTTAAACACTTATTTTCTTAGGACATTTCAGAAATCAGTGTTGTTGATCCATCCAATATACCAACTGTTTCTATGTCTCATAAAGCTGCTTCATTTTGAATGTTCCCTTTACTTGTCGATGAATCTGAATGACTTGTTGATCAGAGGGCGAGTCAGACATTGACTCAATCCCACACATGTAAAAGATTTGCTAGCCTTATGCTCTCATCCCATCTACAAGTTCATCAAAGAAACAATCTAAGGTACATAATGTATAATAAAGTAATTCTTTAATAATCTACAATTGTTTATTTGTAATGTACTGTATTTAAAACCCAAAATGTAGTATTTGTTTGATTTAGCATTTGTAGTTTTTTATTTGATGGTATTTATAACTCTTATCTAACAAATATTATTATAATAAACTTAATATATAGTAATATTTTACAAATTCATGATACAAAAGGTGTTGTTCATCCTGGAATGTAAATCCTTCACAAGGTGGGAAGGAATCTATATTTACAATTTATTCGCTAACTTGATCAGAAAATTATTAACACCATAAAAAAGAGAGAGAGGAAAGTGAATTTTTTTAATTGGTCATTAGTATAATTACAGCTAATTCAAAGCTTTACTGATAAAAATCACAGCTATGACAGATGAACTCATATATGAAACATTTTTTCCAATCAAATAATAAATATCAATAATAAACTTTAAGAACTAACTTGTATCAACTAAGAACTGTATTTGCATTACCTAATAAACTAAAAACTATTAGCTAAATATATAATGATATAATGCAATATTACATATCCATTTAAATAATTGCTTTCAATCACTTGCTATGAATTCCTGAGATTTATTGCCCCTCAGGTAATATAGGTAAATAGGTATGGACTGTAAAATAGATATACTAATGCCCACATACACAAAACTTAAAACTTTATTTTCTGCTTTCCATGCATTCAAGGGAAGTGCACATTTTGAAGGCATTCATTAAGACGATTCTTTCTGATCCTGAATTCATCATATGCTAATGCTGACAGATTCCTTTAAAGTAATGAATGGAATGTTTTGCTTTCCACTGAATGTAATTTATTGAGCATTCCAAACATTAGTTCAAATGGATTGGAAGGGATAGGGCTTACCAGTGGCAAAGTATACATCAAAGATGCTCTTATGGTGATGGTGAGATGAGATGAGTTATCATAAGTGATGAGCTACAGGTGCAGGATAATGACACAATGATGGGGAAGAACTAGTACAAAGAGGTTACTAATCTCCCATGTTAGCTTGTTCCACACCAATAGCACAGCATTTTTTTTTATCGATAATATGGCACTCTTCTCTAAGTGGAACATTAAAGAATATCTAGGAAAGGAAAGCTACTTATTAAACTGACTAGCAAACATGCTCTTGAATTCAATCCCCACTGACCATGTATGGGATATAATGAGGTGATAAACTGCAACTCACAATCTCTCTTCACGGAAAATAGAGAAAGCCTGATCCATGCTCTCAGACAGGTATGCTAACACATCTCCCAGAATTCCTAAATCTCTTATATACGCCTATGGTACTGAGGTTGTTGCATTACAATTCATGATCCCCATATTCCTTACAGAAAAGTTAAATTTCCAGGACATTTTATCCATCCTCCATTTACATCCAATTCCTATATATAACTTTATTGCAAAGGATACTATTATAGTTTTAATTTGTTATTTTCAATAGGCTTATTATCTTATATTCAGCATCGAGAAATAGCCTTTTATATTTATCTCCATCCATAAACAGTTTCCTATTACATGCAAAAATGTTGCCCCCCTTAAGTTTTTAACATATACATACCAAATATTTTAAATTTATACCAAAGAAGAACTAACATTTGCATATCAGTCTCTACAGTTTCAGTCATTCAAGAAAAATGCCATGCAAATGTAGCACTATATAATTATAAATGTCATGCATGCTATGAGAAATGTTTCTGAAGAGAAAAATATGCTACTTAGCGTACGGCAATTTTGATGTTGGCCAAATTCTAATTAGTATTAAAACCTACAGACTATTTATTAGGTTTTAATTCTATTAATTTTGCCTACTGTCCTATATTCATATGAAACTTGTAAGTAAAAATTGCTCATAAGATGCTTACATGTTCTAAGATTTGAAGACACTGATTTATTGTATGAGAAGTACCATTAATGAGACCATAATCTTCAGGCAAGGTATCAGAATTACTTGAGACTATTTCTTGTGTGCATTTTCCAGCTAAAAAAAATAAAAACAAATTTTAATATGAATTCAAATGAAAAAAAAAATTTTTTTTGTTCATGTGACATTTTCAAATTCCAATTCATTGAAAATTAGTCAAAAAACAATAACAGCATAGGAGAAAAAGTTAACATATATTTACATCAAAACACCAAGTACATAATTTACAAGTTGCAATAAAACACATCACTTAGATTAGTTTTACGGCAACAAATCAATATGGAATATGTCTAACCCTTTAAATGGGTTAAGTGCTTTTACATGATTACAAAATTCATTTAAATTTTGCATTTATTACCATTTTTACCAAAACACTATCACCTGTTGCTTATACAGTGTTGAAATGACTGATGTAAAAAGGGAAGGTAGAGTAAGTGGTATAGGTGAACAATGCTCATAATTCTGAAATATTTTGCATCCACATACATTGTAAGTCTTATAATACTAAAATTTAGGTTTAGTTAAAAATTATTAACCATAATTTTATTAGATATAAATATTGTTTTAAATTAAAATTATTCATATTATATTTTCATTTATAAGATATGTATATTTTACACGAGATGCTAGTTACATGTTCTTGAAGGGGGATAATATGAAACTGCTTTTTGTTTTAAAGCACATGAAAAAAAAATTTCCATTTTCTAAATCTTTGAAGTACAATATTGCCCTTAATGTTACACATAACAGTTCAAAGATGGTGTCTCAATGTTTCTAAAAATGATGCTGCATTAATAAAATGAGGAACAATTTGAATATAAATTTCATATTTTATATCATAATTGCCATCATCATCTCCTTCAACCATCATTTTATGTTAGTCTCAACACTCCACAGTCAGCTGTTATGATCATCCAAATATAAAAATTTTGAAAAACAATTAAACAATGAGTTATGCTTCAGGTAAGAACACTTAGGCTTTAGAACAGAAGAGAATTGGGTGTCTCAAGTTCAAAAATGAGTAGCAGAATTTACTGAATTCATGAGTGACACTAAATAGCAAGAGCTAATGAACCAATGACTGAAAAAACTACAGTTAAGTTTCCCATATTATCCCTAAATACAGAAAATCTGTCATCAGCATAAATAAACCAATTTAGAAAATGCTATATTTTATTCCTAATAAACAGTTGTAAATATCAGCAAACAAAGAACTGAGATGACTCCCCATGACTAATCCTTCAATCTGTCACCAAAAATTATTTTCAAAACCAAATTGCATTAATATATCAAAAACAGTATGTTAAATTGGAAAAGAGAAATCCTTTTTTTATTTACTGAAAAATTAAGCAACTTTTTAATGTGCAGATGTTATTTACCAATAAAAACGAAACTCTAGAAATTAAATATTTAACTAATAGGTCATGTGAAGTATATAAATTTGGGATAATGAAGTGAAATGAAATATCGATTTTGTTAACAATTTATTAATTATGAAGACAAGTCAAGATCTTTTCAGTTACCAAAAAACTGAAACTTCCTTATATGGAATATTAAATTATATGCAATTTTCTTGCATTTCATTTAAACATATTGAATTAACAGTTAGTGAATTTTGAATTAAATCTTCTTCGTCAATAGCACATAAATCACAATAGAATAAATGAACTCTTTAAAGTTCACTATATTTATTTACCATAACTATGCTTTGGTGCTAGGTTCACTTAACAGCATTACATCGCATTCATTTTATAACTCAGAGTGCCCAAAAATTATATCACCTGAAGAATTACCATAAGTTCTATTCAAATACTACAATAAATCTAAAACGATGTATAAAAGAAATTAAACAAATAAAAAAGACATTTTACACAGATGATTCAGCGCTGCTTACCTAATGCACATGCGCTACTAATTAATTCAGTTCTCACTTTGCGGCAAAGCAAAAACACATAAAAATTCAAAATAGTTTCATTAAAAATTGAACGATATAGAAAAACATAAAACACCAAGTACAGTTAAAACAATTAAAAAAATCATTTTTACAATTAAAAATTACACATTCTATGCAAAAACAAGCTAATAACTTAAATGATAATTCCAGAATGAATTAAACATAATTTAATTTGCAATAACAAAAGATGTCACTTTATTGTTGCGAAGCTTACTTTGCCTAGACTAGCAACAAATCCAGTATTCTGCTAAGTTTCAAATGTAAACAAACATGGCTGCCATGGTAAACAAAAATTAGGCTTAACCATACTTAAAAAACATTTAAATAGTTGATAAGCGTTACGGCCGAAAAATTCCATATAGAAGGCTGCCTTCTATACTCATTACAAATGAAAATTTCTGCTAGTATTTGATTTCAGTTTGGATGTATATTGGAAGAAAAGGAATCAAGGTACAAAATGAGAGATTCATTCTTTAATTAAAATCAAGAAAATACCACTTATTCATGACATTTTAAGGAACTTTGAAATTTCAGGGCAAAATTGTAATGCTCGGAGGGTTAATTGGAGCCTCACCAGTTGCCTAGCATTTGAAGATTGTTAAATACTAATTGTTTGTTGCGAAGTCTAACCCAGGCTGCATGGTTGGTTTTCATAGTTTTCTAGGTTATCTTTACAAAGGTTCTCTATGAAAGCATCTTAAACAAATAGCTCCCATGTTCTTTCTATGTTCAAATAACCAACTAACCTAGTTTAAGCCCGATTTTCAAGTGAAGTTACTAGCAAAACCCGAATACTCATTAGAAATCATGTAGCTTGCCAATCGGGAGTAACATGAAAGGTATGGCGCCAATAATTGAATTGCTGTTACGGTACGCTGTTTCTAAATTTAGATGGCCATTCCTTAATTAAATATAATTCATTTGTAACTTCTACTAGAGCTGATGGTAAGAAGTGAAGTGCAAATAAATAATATCGTGTGCAATCTTAATTAATATAAAATTAGAAACATTTGCATAGAAAAATATTTGCATTCAGACAGAAAGTTTTTTTTGAAATATTTGGAATTACTTTATAAGAAGGATGTATTAATAACCATAAATAATTACTTATTATATTACTGATGATTAGAATTCACTTCTTGACAATTACATTCTAAATTAGAATTTTACGGATATAATGAAAATACGCTACACATAAAAATACATTTTAGGATAAAAAATGAGTTGATTTTTTATGTTTAAAAACTTCTTAAATTCATTTAATAAACATCGTACCCTCGTTGTTAATTGAATCCAGAATGTTGAGTGTTATTAATATAATTATTCTTACTTGTCCACAGAACCTGCTGACTTATCCAGCCATTAAGTAGCTGCAGATCATTTCTACATAACCACTAAACTTCCACTAATTCGTTCTCTAGATGGTTGTATGTTTATATCATAATTTGACTTTCATAAAAATGATTAATCTAAATCTTATGTTTCTATAAAAATATACTGTGCTTTAAAAATATGGATGATAGTATCAGCTGCTCTTTCAGCCACTTCATAAGCAACAGCTTGTTTAGAAATAAATTATGCAGTTAATGTCATAAAATATTTTCGTAAAATTTAAATAAACATCAAACGAAAGTTCTCAGTTTTAGACAAGTCGATTTAAACAAATTAAAGTAGCAGACAATAAAACGAAGATAATATTTTTTTATGCAAATATTTTTTTAAAAGGAAGAAAGAGAGAAATTAAAAAAATAGTTAAAATTTGAATAATATCATCTATATTTAAAAAAATAGCTTTTCATTAGTATTAATAAATATTTATTACGCCATCATTGCGGGAAAAAATTTCATATAATTAATTCTCCGTAAAATTTTCCTTGAAATTTAAGGTTAAAAATAGCTGAGGCAATTCCCTGTAACAAAAATCCAAAACCACATTTGGTGTTTTATCGCTCAAAAAAAAGATGCCAAATTTCAAACGCGAAAAATATGTAAATGCGTGGGTATCTTAGAACATTTGAATAAAACATCTAATTTTTTGCAAGTAATACAGAAATACACCCCCTTTAATCTGATCTAAAAATTTTATAGGTTATAATTCAAACTTTTTTTTCAACAAAATTTATAAAAAATTATTTAAAAATAGAAATTTAAAAATAAACACAAAAAATAGGTAAATTTTATTTGGGAATGAATCTAATTTTGAAATGTGAGAGAAAAAATCAAAAAAGTTTCATAAAAAAGATATTAATAAATATTTGCCAAATTCAATTAACATTGAGGAGCTAAAATTTTGAGAGCTAATATTTTAAAAACTACTCGTATGATTTTTTACAAAACATGGCATTCTGGCATAATTTGAGTCGTAGAATCAAAATATGTAAAAAAATTGGTATGTTATTTCAGAAAAAGTCCGATTTCATGTCAAAATACCTACGTTAGAATAGTGCTATATATAAATCTAATATATATCCTAAGTCATGCTTTCGAGACATGAAAAACGCAGTTTGAATTTTGTCAATCGGTCCAGTACAACAAGAGATATAGCACTGTCCCAAATTTTTTTTTTTTTTTTTTTTTAGCAGTGTTCATCAAACACAAGGCAATAGTTTGTGTATGGTGTAATTTTAAACGAATAGTTCACTATGAGTGGAATTGAAGAGAAATGCATCGGCAAAGGAGTCTCAGAAAAACATAGTCGTTATCAGCACTGCACGTGGTCATAACCGAATATTGAATCAGAGTTACACTGGCTACCTACTTTTACTGAGCCAGGCTATCTGATCAAACATATAACACATAGACTAAAACGAAAAAAAATCAGCGAAGGAAAAAAATCAACCTTAACAACCTTCACGCACCAAGTCTGAACCTCGAATCACCTTAAACCTAAATTATGCTCGCCCCCTATTTTTTTACTTCTGATTTTTTTTTTTGCGTTTTAGTCTATGTATTACATGTTTGATCAGATAGCCTGGCTCAGTAAATGTAGGCAGCCAGTGTAACTCTGATTCAAAATTCAGTTACGACCGCGTGCAGTGCTGATAATGACCACGTGTTTCTGAGACTCCTTTGCCGATGCTTTATTTTTCTTCTTTTTCCTCCTTTCTAGTAATTTCGTTTCCTGATGAGGAGGGACCTTTAGCTGCCCTCGAAATCGATTGAGTGTTTTAATATAGATACGCTAAATACAAGGTTGTTATTGCGATTTTGATAATTCACTACGAGTCTCGCAAATAATAATACTATTTATTAATCAAAAATATTACAGCATTCTGAACTACTGCAATAAAAATATGCCATTTTGAAACAGAGGTACCCAGATTGGTAAACAAAGAAAGTACTATCCCCTTCAGCAAAACACCAAATTTCATATTATTTACATTACTTCATGAAGTTATGGCAATCAAACTGGTGCTTTATGAATTTATAGCCCAGACTTTGCACTCATAAAGTTTTAAAAGTACTAGTTCATGATACACTTCTTTGCCAGATGGCATTTCAACAACATGAAGAAGGTGGGAACAAAAATGAAGGAGTTGGAATTCACATCCAAGAATAAACTGGTATTCTTGTGGCGAAGAAAATGTGATAAAAAAAATGTCTTAAAATTACTCGTGCTTTGAATGTTGGGCAGATTTTGTTGTACAGTTATCTAAAATTAACATGACAAAAATATCGTAAAACTTTTGGCAAACTGAACCTGCCCTTAAAAAAGTTTATGTAACAAGAAGTAAAAATTAAAATATATCATTTTCAGAGGAGTGGCCATATAAAAGAGCTATAGCTAAAGAAAAGAGCAGCTAATAAATTCAAAACAAAATGAATAACCTTCAACAATAAATGATAATATTCCGAGTTGAAAAACATACATTTTGACAAAAATGATTTAATAGTTACATGCAGTTTCACTAAAAACCAAATTGCTTACTTAATCCCAGAACATATTTGAGAGTATTCTCTCCATAGATATGTTTCAAACCAGCTTCACTATTAAGCTTTAGATCTGTTAAGTACTTTAGTGATGAGCAACAAATTGTAGATATCTGAAAGTCATAATATATTTATGTATACATATAAAAATACAAATGGAGATTGTTTCACACAGTGAGATAAAATAGAAAACATCTTAATCAAATATCAAAGATATTAATGATCAATAAACATAATCGCATCGATGAATAAACATAATGAAAAGTTATAATTCTATGAAATCACAATAAACAGTTTAAAAAAAAAAATTCTTCAAAAATGGGGAGAGAAATGTGAAAAAGCTGTTTATACAGGGTTCGTACACATTTCTGCACACAGAAATTAAGTACTTTTAAGGACCATTAATGAAAAAAATTAAGGACCTAAGAGCAAATGGAAACTGAGTAAATTCAATTAAAAATATTATATCTATGCCTGAACATGAGTAGGATGCATTATTATTAAACATAACATAATTAACATAATTATTATACATTTGAGATAAAATTAATTTTATGAAATTTATCAGTAGTATCAAATATTTACATTTATAATAACTGGACATATTTGAAAGAAGATAAGTGACATTTTAGTTACGTTTTACTAACAGTTAGCTTTTTTTTAATGTCTTTTTTAAATGTCATAATCAGCATGATTCATAACAAAAGTTTGGCTGTTGTCACCGCTCCTGCTTGCCTATAGAGAAACCTGCTGATCAGAACAAATCTGAAAGGCCTGATGTAGGCACAGTTAAACAAGTTTTGAAAGTTAGCTGACCTCTGTCTGACGCTGTTAGTGACGCAGCTTAGTGTAGAGTTCCAGGGATTGTAACTCAGTTAATACACTTTAAGGTCAAGCCACTAAAATATTAACAGTGATAAGTTGTTTTGCATTAAGTCTCATTAGATGCAAAGAAGTTTCACATGAATTTTTATTATTTTGTTTTACCTTGTGACCATGGTAAGCTTAACAATTGCCTGCGCTGAATTTGCTGTCCTTCATTCAGCCGGCAGCGAGAGATCAAGTGTGCATACTGCCGACTTAATTATTCATAATTATCAAAAAGGAAGGAGACACACATAAAGTCTAAAGTATGTTCAAATGTTATGATGACATTCAAAACTATTTGGATGCAAGATAGACAAAAATGTTACAAAAAATGTTGTTCGTATTTAATATGTGTAAAGCTAAGCCGTATTTTTTTTTTAGAATATTCAATAAATTTCATTAAAATATATTTATCACATTTCATAGACTATACTTATTTTTTAACCTTATACTGTCGTCCCGTGGACGACGCCAGCCAAACGAAAATTCCAGTGCCGGGCTCAGCGTTTAACGAAAGGCAATAACTTGCTTTAAGATAGAGTGATATTTTTAAGGAAGCATTAGTTATAATTAAATTAGGTATTAGATAATCTTAGTCATTATACATTACATGGCCACTATTAAATTTATTTTTTAATAATATTTGTTAAAAAACATTTAATATCACAATCTCATAAAATTTCACAGTTTAAAATACATGCAATTTATGACATTGATTTTTAAACAATATTAGGATAATTACACATTAAAAGCTACAAAACATAAAACTCAACAAAATAATTATGCATCTTTTTAATTTGAAGGCCTGCCCAGACATTTTGGCTAATTTATATCGATTTCCTTCTCCTTAAGCATGTTTTCTAAGAATTAGAAATTTGTCTCAATATGCAAAACAATGTTCTCATTAGTTTCTGAGTGTTTTATCTCCTAACTGCCAACCTCTCCACAATGTACTACCTATGAGGGTTTACTTGATCTGGTAAAAGTTAAATAGTCTGACCCCCCCGACAGACGTGACGCAAATTATCACTATGTCTGAAAGTAAGTATACATCACATAATAAATTTAAATAAAGGTTTAAATAAGCTTCTTATTCAAAAAGAACTTAAAGAATTTGGAACATATAGCCATGTTCTTATGCTAACAAAATAAAATACAGTTTGTGGTGATATAATTAAACAAGAAGACTGAAATTCAAACTAAAAATATGGCTAGTGGTCAAAAACTATACAATTAAATTCATTTATCTGTTCAGTAACTTTATTGTCATAATAAACTCAAATGTCAGCAGCAGTAATGGAAGACTAATAATTACACTCATCAGAGCTAGACAGGAACTAATGCAGGGAGCAAGTGGAGTGGCAGAAACACTCATCTTACCCTCGAAAACTCAGTTTTAAAAACTGTCTAAGTGATTTGCATTCTAATGAGGAAATAGAAATGGAAAATTATAGTAAAGGCTGAAACTGTAAACAACTGGTAATTTACATAATAATACTGTACATATCTTTAAAGAATAATTTTCTTTCTCTTTATATTTAGTTTCTTTTTTCAACACGTTTCCTTTTCACTTTGAATTTTTTGTATTTAATTAAAGACTTCTGTTATTCTAAAAGACTAAATACATTTAGAATGTACGGAAAAAGCTGCTAATTTTATTTCTTTAGTAATACAAACATTCAGAAGAAATATGAAATACATATGGTAAGGTCTGGTCACAGAGCTGGTGTGGCATAATTTTTAGAATTTAGAGAGACACTGAGCAAAAAATTCTAGAAATGGCAAAACTTTTAGAATTTAGAGCAGGCATTGAAAGCAGAATTTAGAAAGGCACCAGGCATCAGAATTTAGGATCCACAGAGACTGCATCAGGTGGCAAAATGCCTAGCACCAGCTCTGTGTATGATGCATTGAGACATATTAGATGAATTTTTTGAATTGTCAATTTTCAGTTTCTTTATTAATAAAAAAATTCCTTTCTATAATGCCTGTCCATATGATAAGATTAGAAGTACTTTTGATATTTTCCATGTTTGTATCTAGTAAAAAGTAGAGAAAATAAAGGGAAGATAAAAATGTTAAGAAAGCGATTCTAGAATCAGAAACAAAACATTCAACTACAGTCAAAAGTCGTTAATCCGGACTCGTTGGGACTTCGGCGATTCCGGATTATTGATTTTTCCGGATTATAGATCATCAGTTTAAATCTCGTAAGATGGCATGCAGAAATTATAAAATTAAAATATGAAACCATAATTTATGAAATAAAGAACAATTATGATCTAAAGGGTATCAAAATTTACAAAAAAAAAAAAAAAAAAAAAAAAAAAAAAAAAAAAAAAAGCTTAATATTTATTTGTTTACTTTATTAAACATTTCTTTCAATGTAAGTTGTTAAGTTGCTTCGTTTTATGTGATAATACTTTCTCTTTAATTCTATAAACAGACATAATTTCTTGTTCAGTTACAAAGTTCCGCTGTTCAAGTCCCGTTAAGTGCTGTGCCGAGAATAACGACTAACTGTCAATCGAATTTTTTTTCGTTTTCACTAACCTCTCTGTCACATTCTTCATGTTTTTATCCATTTTTTGCAGCAATTCCACTTTTTGTTTGTTGGACATCGAAACATACTTTCGTTTTGTAGATCCTTTGGAAGTTCCAGCATCGGAAATTCTATTTGACATAATCGAAAGTTCAAGTTTTACTTTTATAAATTGTTCTTACAGTCTGCAAAAAATAATAAGCGGATCCAATTCGAAGATTAAGGAACAATGCAATCATTAACATTAACTGAAATAGATAATTAGATAATTTTAGCTTACACCGTCCGTTATACATTAAACTCGCAGGCGAAAACGTATTCTGCACTTGCGCACACGCATATGCACCGTAGTCAAGGTCTTACGCGCACGCGTAAAACGCCTGTGCGTATGTGCCAACGCGGCGCATGCGCAGAAAGTTTTTAGCTTTGAGGTCCGGATTATAGATCATTCCGGATTATGGGTGTTCGAATTAACGACTTTTGACTGTATTATGTTTTCATTGTTCTTCCAGATGTTCCCTAAAATGTAAGAAACTGCGTGTTACTACCATGGAGACATTTTTCATTTTATCACATTTTTCTAGAATCTTTCAGAATCGTGGGTCTATAAATTTGCCTTGAAATCTTTCTCAACTTTCCAAGCTTCAATGTCTAAAATCCTAAAGAAAAATTACCCCTACGAGTTCTGTAACAGCAAAAATCCATAAATGTTTTTAGAAAAAAATCAGAGGAAAAAAAGTGTGAAATTAATTTTATAGAGGAAACTGATGCATATTCTGAGAATTCTGATCATTTTGAAAAATGGGAAAAATTCTTACCATGAAAAAATTAAAAAGACATTTTTCATTAATTACAATGCTATTTTGCTTTTGCTAAAAATTATTTTGTAAACTGTGCTTTGTAGTATTATTCCTTGCTTATTTTTCAGATTCAAAAAATTGTATAATATGTGGCCAAAATGGAACTTTATAATATGACAGTGAAAAAAATTCTTTATTTTAATGTTATTCCTTAAATATAATTTCAATATATTACTATTATTTTAATGAAATTTATCAATGTTAGAATGTTCTAAAAAATTGTCAAAAAATTCCCAGATCTCGGAATTAAAAATTTTCAATAGAAACCGAACTTAAAATCGCTAAAATGTTGATAATCACCAAGTTTAGAACCATTTAATAAAAGAATTCACATACCCCAAAGCGGAAATTTGTTTGAGAGCTCTTCATTACAAAAAATGAAATAATTTTGAAATGCTTATGTTTCACTTCTTGCTCAGAAACTCGAGTATCCCACTCTTATTTATATTACGAATAGGAACAAATTATAACTCATGAACCCATTCAAAAAATTGCCATATTTGTCAGTGAATTGCCAAAAATATTCCTGCAAAATGCTAATTCACACTCAAAATGGTAGTCGTAAAAAAAAGACAGAAATTTCAGATGATTGCAATTAAGGACCTTCTGGCAATTTTGGCCAAAATTAAGGACTTTTAAGGACCAAAAATCGATTCCAAAAAACTTAAGGACTTTTAAGGACTCTTAAGGACCATACGAACCCTATTATATTAACCCTAAAAGTATCTCTAGATCTTAACCTGTGAATGAAATGCTTTGAAAATGGATGAGGTGTTAGCTAACTCACTCCTTCAAAAAAAAAAAAAAAAAAAAAACTTTCCTTTTTTAAAATACTCAAGTATGG